ATCAAATTTGAATCAAACAGATATCGTTTTCTAGATTGTCCCGCATGCTTATGTTGATGGAGGCCGTGCTAATTTCATCATTCAGTTCGATCTAAGTCGGTCTTAGAAAAGTCACCCATCAAAGGGTTAAGTAATATGTCGGAAGAAGCTGACGATCCGAAAATAAATTCAGAAACAAAATCCTTATGAGGGAAAAGATGATTGCCCAAAGAATCCTGAAACATTATTTAAAACAACCGTATTTCTGCCGTTACTTGATACAGCGATTTCTTCAATTGAAGGTCGTTTTGACCAATTAAAATATCACACAAGTATACGGAATTTTCTGTATAATATTAAAAATCTCCCACCACGTGAAGTTCTGTTAAAACATTGTATGGATTTATATGTACGTCTGAAGGACAAAGAATCAAGCGATGTAAATGGCTTAGAATTTTGTGACGAATTGTCGCGAAAAGTATTTTGAGCCATCAGATGCTACCGGAATATCTCCGAGACATGTTCTGCAGTTCATACATAATCAGAAGTTGCAAGACATATTCCCCAATATATGGATTAGCATGAGGATTTTATTAACAATCCCAGCGACCGTTGCGAGTGGGGAACGTTCTTTTAGTAAATTAAAACTAATAAAAAACTATTTACGCTCCAATATGTCACAAGAAAGATTAAAATCCCTTGCAATTCTGTCAACAGAACACGACACAATCAAAAATATTGATTTGCCGCTGCTAAAGCAGTATCATAATTTTGCTCGCGCCGGCCCTGAATCTTAGATATGATGACTTCGAATACCTATTATTTCTTTGTTTTATTTTTAGGCTTATATTAAATTTCAAGTTAAAGATGTAAATTTAAGAACAACAGCCAGAATTACAAATGGGATGGAGAGAAAGTTCTTCAATGAAATATCGTTAGGAAAAATTCTTTATGATAGTCCAACGCCAACATTTGAAATAATGCATTTAATTAGACATTATCTATAGTATGTCCAAATTATTTATATTTGCAGAAATTAAAAACGGATTCAATAGGATGGGTTAAAGATTTCAGCGGCATATTTGCAGATGCATATATTATACCATACATGCACGTGATAAGTGATCATATGCATGAATTTCAAGAACTTGATGAAGATGACGAACTGGCATGTTTTAGTCTTCAAGGTGCAGAAAAGTATAATGATCTAAGTACAACCGATTACGTTAGATCAACAAACAAACACCACAATTCCCTAGAACAAATGATTACAAAAGAATTACAAAAAGCACACGTATTGCTAAATGAAGAAGAAAAAACAGCATCATTTAATGATATTAATTTAAACAATTTGTTGCTTAATTCTTTTAACGATCATGACGCTATATACGTGTTTTTACCATCATAAAATAGCATTAGAAAATTATGTACTTTTTCCGCGCTGCACCAAATTAGGTACAAATTGGGCGCTATGTGCAAAATTTTTCGGTGAATCCGTTTTTGCCTAAATTTTATTTTTCTCATTGGTTGAAAAAAAAGCGCCAATGAGAAATTTAAAATTTAGGCAAAAAACCACGTAGAGTATGTCGACACCAGAAAAGAAGTCAAAGTATAATTATAAGGAACCCGCTGTCGGATTCACCGAAAAATTTTGCACATAGCGCCCAATTTTTACCTAATTTGGTGCAGCGCGGAAAA